AACTTTAGTTTTAGCTCAGCCTAGAAGTCTTATATCATTAAATATTAGAGAAACATTAGAAATAAAACAAAAACAAATATTAAATTGAGATGAAGGACCCACAATTCAATACATTGATATTATGGCGAGATACATTATAATTTATATATATAAATATATATATATGTAAATAACAATGAAGTAATGTGACAAGGGGGAAAATATAAATGTAAGCCGTACGGCTTCAATAAAGTCTTTATTGTGTAAATATAAAAGGTTGTTTTTAATTGTTTATTATAATTTAAAAACATTTTAAACACAAGTGCCGGTAGTGCATATACATATCCCTTTTATTCATAAACCTCCAGTCACACACAAAGTAACAAGTGTATTTATATTAATATTATTACACTGCTTTTGACTACATTAGAAGTCCAATAACGACTGACCACCATCTTTAGAAAGAATATATAACAATAATAATTACAAAAAAAGCTTTAAACCTTTTATAAATATTAAACACCATTTTAGATCATGATTTCTTTATCAGTCCGTAAGTGGGGGGTATTCTACATGCTGCATTGTAAAATCGTAAAGACTAAACGAAGAGCTTACATTCAAAATGCAATATACACCATTTCCGATAAAATGAAGCTGCCAACTGAACTGTTTTGATTGTGCTCAATTTTTGAAAATAATTATATTCTACTTCTTTGTGTGTGTGTGTTTTGTTTGATGGGGATGGGGAAGTAGATTTTTTATAGCATTTTGTCCCTTGAAAAAATAAAATTATTTTCAAACATTCCACAAACCCCTACTCAGTGATGAAATATATTCATAACCTAGATAATCATCATCAAATCTCAAATATTACTGAAATAAATACTCAGGTAATCTACAGGCAGACTGGTTACTAACCTGATGCCTTAGGAGCAACTCCAGTTTGTGATGGTGTACCACTTGTTTTGGGACCCGCAAATGATCCTGATTTCAGTCTTGCTATTTCTTCTAGTTGTTTAAGAGATTCCTTGGCTTTGGCAAGTTCAACACTCCTTTCTTTTGTTTGGGTTTTCATGACTGGTAAACGAGAAGCAACTTCAGGAGATGCCGAAGAATAATGTTCTACCGTTTCAGCATTTCTGGAGATTAAGTACTTATTTTTGTGCTTATCTCGTGATTTCTCTTTGGTTCTTGAAAGCTTCAAACGTGGAAACTTCTTTTCTTTCTGTGTAGTTTTGGATTGAAAAGTAGAAGGTAAAGAAGCTGAACGTTCCTTACTGTCTTCTTTTGTTCTTTCTTTAGTTCTTTCCTTACTAGGAGAGTGTTTAGCAAAGGTCAACAGAGACAGAATATTTTTTCTCCCATTTGATTTGGGTTTCTCACTTTCCAAGATAGAATCATTCTTTGTGATTGGTTTCATAGAAAGTTTTTCAACCTCATTTGGATCTCTACTCTGTTGGATATCAGGTTTTTCTGCCTGTTCTGCTGGTTTAGAGAGTACAATACTAATGTCAATGTCACTAGTGCAAACAGATGATTCTAAATAGCTAGCACTATTGTCTGTTTTGGAAGAGCTTTCTATTGCTGAAGGTGTTTTGCTTGATGATGTTGTACCAGATGTCTTCATAGATTCATTAGAAGAAGGACTTAGAGTAGAAAGTGGACCTTCTGAAGTACCAGTTTCAGAAAACTGAGAGCTCTGTGTGCTTTCATTCATTACTTGTTGGGCTGAGGTTGGACTCAAAGTGTTTTCAGTCATCAAATGCTTGGTCAGTGGCACGGGAGTAGAATGACTGTCATTAGGATCTAAAATCTGAACTCGCTTTGCTCGATAGGTCCCTGAAGAATTATCATCAACATAATCTTCATCTAGTTGTTCCTCATCATCATCATCTAATAGTTCCTCAGAACTGAGCTCCTCATACAGAACATTGCCCTTATCTGAAGAACTATTTATCTTTTTGCGGCAATTGTAAGGACTTAATCCTAGTTCTTCATCACTCATTAGTTTGGCTCTTTCTCTAGCTTCTTGTCTAGCTTTTTGTTGCTCAACAGTTCTTTGGAGACGAAGATCTCGACCTAATTTTTGATTTTCAACACGTGTAATTCCTAGTTCTTCAGTTGGAGTTGATGATGAAGTCAAAAAATCAAATTCAGGTGGTTTTTCTTTATCTACTTTTGAAAATGAAGAATTTGGAGTAAAAAAAACATCATCTTTAAGTTTAGATTTTTCATCATCAGCAAAAGGAACACCCTGAATATCATCATGAAGACTCCTTCGATGTAAACGTTTAAGACGGAGTTTTTGAGCTCGATCAGCATCATCTACGGGTCTGCTGGGAACACATGTGGATGCTATGGGGGATGGTTCATGTGACTTTTCTTTAGTAACTGATACTTTCTTTTTATCTTCTCCTTTTAACTGTACATTTTCCTTAGAAAGAGAAGGAAATTTTAGTTTTTGTAAGCTAATGTCTAAAGACTTCAAATAAAGAGAATCTCCTGATACACTGCGAGGACGAACTTTTTCTACAAAACTTCCACTATAACCTCTAATTTTGGTATCCTTCTTTATATTGTTAACAGGTGAAGATGATGGTTTCACTGAAGATGAAATAGATTCATTCTTTATCAAAGGAGTAGATTCTTTAAAACTTAAGGAATTTTTCACGTCTGCTGCTGAATCTTCAAAATAAACAGATGGAGTTGAAAGAATGCTATCTTCAGATTGAGATAATGTTTTTATAGTGGGTTTGTCACTCAAGGGTTCATTTTCTTCTCTGGCTGGCTTTTCATTAATGGATTTTGAAAAAGTAGCAGGAATGACATATTCATTTGGAGAGCCTGATGAGGTCATATCAAAATCAGTAGCATACCAAGGTGTAGAAAAACTATTATCACTATCCCAAGTGAAAGTATTTTGTGCTGGTTTACTTTTTTTGGTTTTATCACGTATTGTCACAAAAGGACTAATATATACATTGTCGTTTTCAATTTGTGTTCTTTTGAAGGAAAGGGAAGCATCTGAAATATCATTAGAACTATTGTCACATTCTTGAAAATCTGAAATGTCATTTAGTTGCTCAAAATCTTCCTCTTCCTGTGTATCCATAACTGGACTAAGCATGATTTTGGTGAGATCATGAACATGTGATGGTTCTGGAATGTTTGAAGATAATTTTTCTAACATCAAAGTTTTTTTTACATTAACAGCTGCACTAAAAGAATCTTTAGAAATTGGTGTTTCATGAATATTCTCTGGTACCTCAATAAATGATTGACTATCTAACCATTCTTCAGATGTAGACTCAGAATTTACTGAGGACACAGAGGAGCTCTTCAAGGGAATGTAACATTTGGAATAATCAATTTCCTTGTATTTTTCCTGGTCACTGTCGGTTTCTGAGGAATGAGTTGAACACACATTTAGAGAAGGTGGTTTAATTTCAACAGAGTTTATAACACTATTAGAAATATCTTCCTGTTCTGAAATACAAATAGAGCCCTCATTTAGTAATCCTGTGGTATTTGTTTCATATCTATTAATGTCTTCAAAGCTCTTTAGTGACATTAACTGTTCATTTTCATACCTTAACTTTTCTTGTTGTATAGCATTCTGATCATTTTTTGTTTCACTAATATGACTACCTTCAAGATCTGAGGACTGGGCACCCAAAATCTGGAGAGAAAGATTATAATCATCTGTTGCAGTTGGTATTAAAGGAATCTTCTGCTGACATGTAACAGAGTCCTCATCTTTTGTAGTATCTAAGGCTGAAAGCTGGTTAACAAATATTGCATCAACTGTCGAAGCCCCCTTTTCTGTATCAGCCAAAATATTCTGTAAAATTTCCGGATCAGAAATACAAATAAAGCCTTCACTTATCAATTCCTTGTTATCTATTTCATAACTATTAATGTTTTCAAAGCTTTTTAATGACATTAATTGTTCATTTTCATATTCTAACTCTTCTTGTTGTATTGTATTCTGACCATTTTTTGTTTCACTAATATAGCTACCTTCAAGATCTGAGGACTGGGCATCCAAAATTTGGAGAGAGAGATTAGAATTATCTGTTTCAGTTTGTACTAAAGGAATCTTCTGCTGATATATGACAGAGTTCCCATCTTTCGCAGTATCTAAAACTGGAAACTGGTTACCGAATATTGCATCAACTGAGGAAACCTCTCTTTCCGTATCAGCTAAGACATTCTGTAAATTTTCCCCATCAGTTACAGTATTATCTATGATTTCTAAGCTTCCAACTTCAGGTTTTGAAAATAATTCTGCATTATACACTAAATCTTTGCTCATTACATCATCATTTTCATTACTTTCCAATAAATCAGTTATTGCATGACTAGAGAAAGGGGTTGAAGAATTTGTAGCATTACTCTCTGGTGGACAAACCGTATCTCTTAAATTTTTCAAAAACAATGAATCTTGATGAATTCCTATTCTATCACTATTAGAACTCTCAAATTCACATGTGTTTTCATGTGTAATTGCCATCCTTGTCAACATTTCCTCACTTTTTTCAAAATCTAATAGCTCCTTATTTTGGTCCTTTATAGATAATGGGCTAGTAAGTTTTACTTCATCAACAGTTTCTTCATCTACAAGATCTTGTGAAGTAAACTGATCATTAAGATTTTTACTATAATTTAGTTTAAGTAGCGGAACACTATGATCTAATGCCTTGACAAAATTTTCTGACTTAGGTTGATCAATTATATTCTTTTGATTTACTGTATCATCAGGTATTTTTACATATTCATTTAAATCCATTATGTCTGAGTGTTCTAAATTATCTTCATCATTTTGTTTTTCTGCATTATATTCATCATCATCATTCATATACATTTTTACAGAATTATAAACACCATTGTTATTAACAAATGATGCAGAATTGTCTGGTTTTACAGCATTGTCTTCAGTTTTGAAGTCTTCATGCAAATCTACATCATATTTTATTCTACTTTCACCTGATACTAAATATGACATAGAAGGATCTACACTTGAAATGTGAATGTTTTCTGTGTCTTGGTCTATAACCCTATCCTTGAAGTCAGCTTTTTCCACATCAATTGATTCTTTTTGATGAACCAGGGTGTTGTCTTCAGATACAGATATGGCTGATGACACAGTACTTAAGCTGGTAATGCTAAACGATGCACTTCCTTCATCACTTCTTTTAGCTTCCACTTTACACACTTCCTTCAGTGCTGCTACAGCAGTGTCCTCAACCCATTCCTGTTCCTCAGCTTCTTGTGGGGGTGACTCATCAATGACAATTGTTGGAATCTGATGCTTAGGAGGTTCTGGTTCCGAGTCTGAATCTGTTCCAGTATTGGTTGTCTCTTCTGAAGTGATGGATTCTGTGTAACTATCACTACCTTCAGCTTCAGATGATGATAGGTCTGTCAAATAACAAGTGAATTAAAATTCATACTATACAAAAATAGTTTGGTTGGAATATAAAGGGAAAAAACCACCATCTGATGTAAAACAGACTTAATATTTATTCAAAGCATTACTGAAACCTTAAAAAGTATGATTAATACTTATGTAAACTAAATGTGCAACAGCTAGAAAATACTTTTTATAGAAAATTTTAACATTCCAAACCTCTAAGTTGCTAAATGAAGCATTTGAATGAATCAATACATAGTGAATACAATCTACATACATATCATTGAAACTTGTCTTATCATTGAGCTGTACCATAAACTCACTCAACCACATCAGCCACCAGCTTTACACAATGAACTAAGACTATACACAATCAAAAGGAATACAATGTTAAAATAATTACACAATAAATAATTTATTAAAAACAGAGACCAGCCCTAATAAGACTACATATATTGGTGTTCTTACACCACTATCGTCAGGAGTAAAAGTTGAAGTTTGATCAAGACTTATATAACTACATAATAATTTGTATTACTTTTATGCCATCTAGACTTAAAACACCCAGAGTTTCTAAAACACATGTCCAGTATTTTATTTCTTCTAAACCTGTACCAACTTCTTTGTTCAGCACAATATATCTGTTGTTTTCAATTTCTACTGAATTAAATATTAGAGAAACACTTTAACTGTGTTAACTTTACTGTGTGATCAGTGAAATAATATGATTGTCAGTGTTATAAAAAAGTTGATCAAGTTTCAGTAAGTTGAGCACTGTCTACAAAAGTCAAAGATATGTAGCAAGGTGCCCTTAATATCACAAATGAGCCATGCAAAAATGGATTCCATATTGGCTGTACTAGGTTTCTGAATTTTAAGGCCCCCTTATTGTGTTTGGTGTATGTAGGACATGGGTGTTTGCGAGTTGCATGTTGTCATGACATGGAGCGTTGTCAACAGGAGGTCTCAGGGGTGGATTAGCTATGCCCTTTTAAATTTATTACTGGTAACAAAGTTACAAAGTACTTCTCTTCAGAGTTTGAACTGCTAAACATTTCAAATTTATTTTCTGTTTATTTTGCTGTCAATGACTGAAGTAGAAATCTGCTGAAAATAACGCAACAAATCACAGCTTGTGTCATTAGACTGTTTACATGATACTATCGAGAGCAACAAATCACGTGCACAGAAATAAGCCGACTTGACTTCTGTTCCGAAAACACGATTTGGAATTTATCAGCTTATGTATCCTACAGTGTTTACAATGAGAATTTCCCAAAGTAATAAGACTGCACTTTGAATCTATGAAAACATTCATTACAGTATATGGTTTAGAGCCGATCCAATAAACATTGCAAGTGTTTGAATATTGGTCATCCTTCTGGGATGTGTGGAATTCAGCAGTATACCATACAAGTATGCAAAGATAACTGTCCGCTTTATCGAGTGCCCGTATAGAAAATGAGACTAAAAACACTGCCCTAAATCCGGAATATCGAGGTGCCCATTATTGCAAGGTTGATTTTGGTTACTAACAGTAAAAAAAAAGAAAGATACTGAAAAGGTCTGCTCATAATGGCATGGTCCCCACTGTTTGGAAGTGCACATTGAAGTTCCACTGTGTGTGTGTATATATATTGCACTAATGCTGTTTTAAATTATTTGAACCATGAGACACGACTATACAAACTGATGAAATAATTTACTACACAACTGCCTCTATTATTAACGTTAATAACCTGACTCAGTCACAAATAAAGAACTTACTTTAGATTTAAGGATCACGTTGAACAACAGGGATAGTAACTGTAGCTTGAGCTAACCATGAATCAAGCCTACTTACATCATGGATTATAACCATGAATCCACTTAATCAAAAATAAAGAACACATCATAACAATGATGCAATCTCAATGAATCACACAACACATTTTAACCTTACATAGCATATCATAATCTGAAAAACATATGAACTCTAATAACTGTAACCATGTGAACTGACTGAGTCCAAGTCAATGAAATACTTTACATTAGGCATAATAATCAATGAACTGAACCACACTAAAATAGCTTACTCCATACAATTATTTGTGACATAACAGAAAAATAGCATACTATATACTACAATGTGGACTGACTAACTTAGAATCAAAAGAATATTTTATACAATGAATCATAACCTTGTACCTGATTGAACCAAAGATTGAGATTTTACTATGGCAGTTTTTGAAATAGCAGCTACTCACTGGACTTCAAACTGATGACCGAGTTCTTTATTTATAGAAAAGCATAATAACAAAAATGCCAAAATTGGTTTGTATTTAAAACTGTTTTTGGACAAAATTACTGCCAAAAGGGAGATATTATTCAAAAAATGAATAAAAAATATCAATAAATTTCAAGTGACATTACCTAAGCAATCTTGTTTTTTTGGGAAATAAACAAAAAAAATTAATACATGATGTCATGCTGTGTGATTAGTGAAATAATATGACTGTCAGTATTATAATAAAAGTTGATCCAGTTTCAATGAATTGAGCACTGTCTACAAAAGTCAAAGATATAAACAAAATTCTGTCTCATTTAACAAATAAGTATTTTAGAATAAAATTTAGAAAAATGTAACAATGTTTTGTTTTCTTATTATGTACTTAGTCAAACAAATGCAAAGCTGCAATTTTGTTAAGTTTCTTATTTACAAGATTGAGTACTTATATAATAAAATAAAAAAAAAATAGCTCACTACAAAGATTAGATCTACAGCAATACCTTAAAAGTAACATATCAATTAATGAAGGAAATCCTAAACAATAAACTGACAAGGAATACTTAAGTTTTATAAACTAATACACCATAAAAATATAACCTATAAGGATTTGACTGCACTACATCAATTTATTCTAATATAAACTCTCTAAATGTAGAAACATGCAGGTGAGCCAACTTCTTTCACATAACCATGTGGCACTTTATACTCACTGATAAAAAAACAATGCTTCCAAACCAGAAAATATCTTAATATTTTAAGCTTGACAAGTCCTAATGCTTACTTTTTAATTTCTGACTAAAATAATTCTAATTAGTAATGACAATACATAGTGCAAGAGGTAAAATACCATACAACACAAAAATATAAAGATATTGTCTGTTTCCTGACAGATGCATGAAATACTTTTGTGTGCATTCATAAGCATTTTCCTGAACAGTAACATTTGGTAACCAAACAAATAAGACACCATAACTGTTGCATGCATGCATCTTTGTAAAGTCACTACAGCCTAGAGTGAAGATCGATCAAGTGGCAGTCTTTGTAGATGGTTGTCTATATATTACTTTTTGTTCCAGAAATAATTTCCCAAATATAATTCACAACTGGAATATTACTTATGTTAGCAAGCCATAACATTTATGTTAAAGTTCTCTTATTTAAGATTAAAAAATATGATTTGATCACATCATATAACTAAATTAAATCTAGCCATGGGTTCCAATTCTCATCCATGCAAATTCAATTTTGAATAATAATAATAATATAAACATATTAGTCCCTCCAGAAATGAAAAAACAAACCAGTATTAAAGTCCCTAAATTAATGCAAACAATTTTTTTAGTTTACATTGTAAGCATATCTAGCTGGTACCTGGGAATTGACACAGAATTTTAATACTAACCAAATGTAAATTATATATACTTTGTGTGATGTTGTCAATTACTAGAAACACATGCTCAACATCATCATACAGATAGTGTAATAATGTTAATGAAAAACAAAAGCTTTTTTTTAACCTTCTGTCTTCTTTTTCATTTGAGAAGGAATATCTGGTACAGGCACTTTGACCACAACATCTTTGGATTCTTCTCGAGCTTTTGAAACTCTTCCATCATCTGAACAGATTTCACTTGCATCATCTGAAGCTGTAAAATATTAAGTGTATTGTCACAGCATTTGACTTCTCTTTTCTACTAAATAATAAGGGTCACTAGGTTTAAAGAATTATTTGATATAATAAATCTTATAATTTTCTATATACTGAAAATGTATTTCTAGTAGCTTCTTACCTCCTCTCACATAAATAGCTATTATTGTTCAGTGCTGCCCTCTATATGCAAAACATTTATTTATGCATACCACAAGCCTTGATGCTCCTACCCATCTGGAATTGACTATTCCAATGCGTCTTGCATGCAAATCATCCCGCAACAACCCTCCACCAATAAGAGTGCGACATACTTTCTTGTTGCATGTGGCTCCCTCTATTCAATTGTACCATAGTACCACTTTGACTTTAGGCAGAAAATGGAAGCACTGGTTTTCAGTGGGGAGAAAGGGTAGGAAGTGTGTGAGATGAGGTAAGTACCTATAGGAAATACATTTTCAGTACAGGAAAATTATAACTTTTGATATGGTGCATTACCTCCTCTCACATAAATAGCTAGAATCCCACATTGAACAGGTGGAAGGACCAGTGCTAGAGAAAGAAAGAAGCATTCTTCAAATGTGTCTTTTGAGTCGAAGATCATACGTGGGAGACCACACCACTTCTGTACCAGGTATACTCTTCACCCAGTGTGGAAAAAAACGTGTTGCAGATATGGGTAGAAATAGGGAGTAACACATCCAATAGGGAGAGAACTATGGTAGGATAGTGATTCGAACCACACTATACAGGAATCTCAATCCCATAATACATAAATGTGAGTGAGAGTAAAAGGATGTTCCTTCAGGTGTAGAGTGGCTAGGGCACGACAGGCTGTACACGGCAAGTCAACTACATCCAAAACCCAGGCTGCCAGGAACCAACATCCACACGGGGGTAGGATGAGGATCATACCATTAGTAAGTCAACTACAATTCAAAATCTGACCACTGGGAATCAACATCCATGTGGGAGCAGAAAAGAGGATCATACCAGTGGCAAGTCAACTACAATCCAAAACCTAGCCATTTAGTGGGGGAAGGAAAGAGTTTTCACCTCAAGTTCATGAAACAGTAGAGAATCTCATGCCCCCACCATATGAAAGGAACACATGATAGCAAAGTGAGAAATTGACTGAGTGATCCAGGAACCCTACATCGAAATAATGTCTGTGTAATGTAAACCATCTCACTCAAAATTAAAATGACAGGAACCACCTAAAGCGCAGTAATATCCTCGGAATAATAAGAACATCAAGTGATAGGGGAAGAGCTGTAGTAAACTGCAAGAACCTCCACTGTAAGATGTATGGAGCAACAAGAGTATATATGAGTGAAGGAATAGAGACATCTGTAATACATGTGTGAGGATTTATGTTGATTGATTCAACTCTAAATCCAAAACCCAGCCACTGGGAACTGATATCAACATTGGGGGTAGGATCCCAATCAAAGCGGTTAACTTCAATTTTGATGGCCCACTCCAATGTTACATAGTGGAGGACATCTGGTCATCTACACCAGCAGAACACCACTTCCCAACTCTCAACTGAATGGTTTTATCATCACTGATGTATATTTAGTATATATATATATTATTGTTCTTCATTAACATATTTAGGAGGATGCCTTCACGGTCCACCACCCCAGCGGCTTGGAACTGGAAAGTGGTAAGGACTCTCAAACTCCACTAGAAGAAAAGGGGGTGAAAAAGCATGGTGGAGTGTCCAGAGGAATGACAATGGCTGAAACAGTGCAATGGGTGACCACAAAACCCTATTTTAAAAAGCAGGCCATATAGATTTATTCAATACAAGGCATGGCAGGGATGGGCAACCATGGGTGAGTACGAGCCAGGACAGGCATATTAATGAAGCAAATATATTGTGAGGATAAACCTAGATGCAATCTGGTGGAACACCCCATATGAGCATTGTGCATTTAGTGGCCATAAATTATAACTGTTAAGTCATCATGGCCTTACAGTGCAACTTTTACTGGTTTAAGTATATCTGAGCAGGCATCACTCACCACAGAGTGGAATCCATAAAGAAAAATGAGGGACATGTCCCTGAAAAATAAGAGGTATATATATATATACTAAAAGGTACCTTACCCAGTCACAGTCTCACAAAAGAATGAAGGATGGCAACAGGTGGATGAAGGAAACCCAACAAGGAAGAAACAGCTACCCAAAGTAAAGAATGGGAGATGAACGTATGAAGTGTAGTCCCAGTGCTCGATAGATAAAGTACCTCCAACAGGTTTGATATGCACAGAAAAAGGAAGGTGCATGATTGGAGTGAAGACACCAGGAATTGATAATGGGAAGAAAGATATAAAGAATAAAAGGCCAATCAAATAAAAATCCAAGCCCAATGGGTTAGGGAGGAAGGGAAAAACAAATCAGACAAAGCAGAGGAGTAAGGAAAGGAAATCATGAGAAATGGATTCAACAAAAAAAAAACCCTTGAAAACAATAAGGCAACCCAAAGCATGTACTAGACCGACAAGGTCATCTGGAACTGACCAAGAAGAAATGTGGAAGATGGTAAGAAACTGAAAAGTCAAAAGGAAGGCGAGTAATACTGGGGGCAGGTAGGGTAGACCCCAGCCCCCAGGGGCCCACACAAACGAAATTAAGGGTAAGAAGTATAAATTATAAATTAAAGGAAATTTCATAGTGAAAGAAACGTATGTAATACATGTTATATGCTGAAGAAGAACAAAATAGTTAACAGAACTAACGAGTAATCCAGAAGTATAATCACAAGTAAACCAAAATTAACATACACTTGTTAAGCTTAATCTAACAAGATATTTAACTTAATTAGTAATTAATCTGTAACTAGAACTACAGGTAAACCGAAAATGACAGAAAATTTTAAGCCTGATCGAACAGTGCAGGACAATGGCTATCACTAAGCTATAAAATAAAAATCTTAACCTAACAATAAGTATAATAATAATGAAAATGAAATAAACAGTAATTTATAAAATGAAATAAGTGTGTATTAACAATAACCTGTGCAAGAGATGTGATGTATGAAAAAAAAACAATATACGAGTATGTTGCACTTTTATTGGTGGAGGTTTTTTGCATGATGATTTGCATGCGAGACACATTGGAATAGTCAATTCCAGATGGGAACATCAAGGCTTGTGCCATGTGCAAAAAATGTTATGCATATACAGAGCAGCACTGAATGATAATAGCTATTTATGTGAGTGGAAGTAATGTACTGTATCAGAATTGTATAAATTAACTTTGCTCAACTGAAAAATAAACAGTGAACTTTCTTTTATACAATGGCGTAGCAAGAGGGGGGCACTTGCCTCCAGGTGCAGGTGTGAAGGGGTGCAAAATTTCCTCTGGCCTATAATGCCTATTAATTAATAATAATGCCCTCCCTTAGGATATAGCGCAACTACCCTACATTAAGTAAATATGACACAGTGTTATGTTATTTGTGTGTATTACGCTTACAGTTTTAACTTTTAAAAGCCGCCCACTGAAATACAGTGAGACCGATTTGACGTACAGAAGTAAATTACACTATTCCATCATCCATCCATAGATCAAATACAAGTCTTAGAGTACAATGTACAAGTAAGTGTATGTTCAACAAAAAGAAAATA